ATAAACTTTGCAGAAAGTTGGCGACTTCTGCGCACTATGCCCCTCAACATCCGCTGATCCGCTGCTCTATGATTTTCCATGGCCTACCAATTCCTGGCTGAGTTGGTGTCATTCCCAAACGCTTCCACTTTGTTATAATACCGCTAACAGCTGACTGTGGAATATTTAGTAGTAGCATATAAACAACATCTAATCTAATCTAACATTCTGGATACAGCCATCAACACTATTATTATGAAAATATCTGTGTTTGGCTTATGTTTCTTGGGCTCAGTAATCTTATTTAAAAATATGACTGAAAGCTTTGAAATTCATTAAACCAAAGCTATGATGGATGCCACTGATGACAGGATATAAGCAGATAATTACAATAAGACCACAAAATATCTGAGAGTGTGTGAGGAAAAATCAGTTTGAGGAAAGTTAGTCTCATTAAGTCAATTTGAAGTAGGCTGAAGAATCGAATCAGTGTCCCCGCACAACATGAGCCTTTAAAACATTTTATCTTCCCTCCAGCTGTAGGTGTAAATACACTGTTAATATGCCTAAGTTATTTCATTTTGTACAACTTCCCCGTTAGGACAGAAAAAGACTAAAATTGTGTAACGGTGCTTTATTTTTAGCCGATTTTGGCTTCAATCTCTTCTGTCCTCCTCAGTTCTTGCTCTCCTTCTTCATGCATTTATCCTCTGTGCCTCACTCTCTAGGTCCCTTGCATTTGTTCTCCACATCTAGCTCCTCTAAGTCATCCCCAGCCTCTCTCCGCCTCACCCTTCTTCCTCCTGTAGTCTAGCTTCACACCTCATTGCGGCCACAAATCTTTCACAGCTCTCCTCTTCCTTGACTTATCTCGTCTTGTGTCCTCGTTTTGCTGCATCTTCTTCCTACTCCCCTTTTTTTAATCTCCGTCTTTGCTTCCTTTTCCCCTACACTTGGTTGAAACATTAAACTCTATATTGTGTATAAATTCTCTCCAACTTGATGAAGGGGTAAAGGACAGACAGTTACACCTTAGTATTTTTATAGTTGTAGTTTGTAGTTATATAAAACCATTATTTTTTAGGGTTTTTTTTTCTTTAGTGGACTTTTCTGTTTTAGAGGACATGGATAATGATGGATTTTTCTACTATATGCAGGACTTGAAGCTAACACCTAGCTACAAATCTAAAGCTGCCATGTTCTTAACTGAGAAGGGTTTTATTTTAGCTTTTAAGCTCTTCAAGAGAAAATTCACTAATTGGAGGCAAAGCACTTAATGCTTCAGTGTTAAAACGGGCTAAAGCCATTTTGTTTGGAACAGTCAATTTGTACAAATTGGCTCTTTATTACTCAGTATATAATTAATACAAGGCAGTTTGAGCTGCATTGTAAAAATGTACTAGCTATAAATCTTCACTGCTTATTTGCCTACAGTTCACCTTCTCCATTAGTTTGCACTCATCTTGAGATTTTCTGCTCTACTGTACATTGCAAATTCTATTCATACATTATTTTGTTGCATGAACCCAGGACCGTGTAATAATATGGAAGATTAAAATAAAAACCCTAGATGATTAGAGTTCAACTTAAATTGGAATTTCCTTTTAAATAATATTCTCATATATCTTCATTTGAAAGTTTGACCTCGGCCTGCTACTTTCTCATTTCGCTCTTTGGCAGTTTTATTTATTTTTTCCCTGATAGCGGTTGGTTTCATATGAGCCAAGGTCTGTTGGCTTTTTGATAGCTCATATCTTCCCCATCTTCACCTTCTCATCTGTCTTTTTCATCTCTATCAATGCCCTTTTCATTTCCCTACACATTTAAAAACCATCAGTCTCCATCACATCTCCTGACTTCCACCTGTTGTTTGCTTTAATTCCCGTGCTACACATCAAATACTCTGAGCGAGTCATGTCACATCCTCTGTGTGGAAACTGTCCAGCCCTGATCCACCACTGGCCCTGGCATAAACTGAGCTTGACATTTCCTTGATATGTGCTTCAGGCAGTAACAGCACTTACTTTACACGTACAGCACTGTACAGATGTATTAGATGTCTTTTAGCTGTTTAGATTATCTTTGACACAATGTCATCAGACGGGCAAGTTTTTGGACCTAAAGTCTTTCTGCAACTTGACAATAACACCAATCATTTACACAATCTATTTGACCACTCTACTTTTCTAATGTTTCTAAAAACTGGCTAAAATGTTTTTTTTCCCAAGACTAAAAATAAAGATAAAGGCAAAGTGAATAAAATTACTAAAAGCAGTGGGTCAGTGAGAAACAACTAGGTTCTAAAATAACCATAAAAATAATAATAATCCGTTTAGAAGAGAGATATATAACTGAACTTCAAAAATGAGATTTGTGCAAGATATTTGGAAGTGGGGCCATTTCGTTTTAGTTTTTCTCCCTTCTTTGATGACAACACACATGTGGACAAAAATATATAACACTTAAATTAGCCTTGCTCAATTTCCTGCCATATAGTTATGTCATTCATGACAAAATAGAAGAAGCAAGCAAGAGAGTGGAGAAAGAAAACAGAACAAAGGAAAGTAGAGTGGGGCTTGTAAAATGATTTGGGGGTCTTTTAGAGGCCAAACCTTCACTAGATACTGAAAAAAGGTGACAATGCTGTAACCGACAGACTCAATGGACCAAACTAATTTTAAGTCATGACCTTAAGATTTTTGAGGTTGAGTCTAAATGCACCCATTTACTAAAGCCATTGGTGATGTAATGAACATAGTGATAGAAGCATGAAGCTGCTGCTATTTTAGCAAAACTTCTATGTAGACATGGCAGAAATATAAATTCAGCTGGTTTTTCTTCACACCTTCATATCTAACATGCCTAAACATTAACAATCAGGAAGCCAGCGTATTCATTCATATGAATTCGGCCAGCAGATTTTTTTTTTTAAATCAAAGTCATGTAGTCCTTGTGTGCCATAATAATTGAATGAGAATCATTTTTCTATGATGTCATCAAAATGATTCATCTTCTGTGTTACAATTTTATTTAATCAAAAATGAATACCGCACAGCTGATCAGGCACAGTGGAAATGTGGTATGTGTAGAGTGGCGTTTCTTGATACAAACAAAAGGTTAATGATGCTTAATAGTTTCACCAAATTTACTTTAAATAATTACACACATCGCTGCCTGAGTCCCAATTTAAAGGCTAGATATTAGCAGCTTCTAATTCCCCACAGCATCAGGCACATAGCCCTTAACTGTATATCAGTTCAGGTCTGATACAGTTGGTTAATTCAGGAATAAGTCATTTCCAAGCTAGCTGGCGAATTGCTTGATTTTCATTGTTGTTCACTGCTGTGGTCTGGTTTGATAAAATCAACTCCCTTGATGCTTCTTGTTTGTGTTCTATAGATGATTTTTCACTGCTGAACTTCTTTCAGTGGTTTCCTTTAGGGTTTGCCACAGCAGATCATCTGTCTCCATCTCCCCCTAACCCTAGCATCCTCTTCTGTCACACCAACACAAGCTGTACCGTCTATGTACTCGTTTCCAATCCTGCCCCACCTGGTCACTCCCAGTGAAAATATTAGCATTTTAACTCCACCTCCATCTCCACCTTCTGCCTCCAAACTATACATCAAAGCAGGAAATTGTTGAACACATCATAGAAATATATTGTTGGAATCTGGCATGTTGATACTTGTTGTAGTTTGACACATCTGCATACTGCCCTGGTTAGCTCACTGGATTATTTGTTTGCTGTGTGACATAATACTCAATATCAATGAAGCATCGCTATATTTCAAACTAACCACTGGCAAAAGGAGCTGCTGTTGGTCTGGCTGCCAAAGATGTTAAAGCTGTGCTAAAGCTTCTTGAATAATTGTATCATCTTCTGCTAAACTTAATTCAGAAGCATTCTCACAATCATTGGTATAATGATTAGTAGCAGGTGAAGGTTGCTAACATTTTAATAATAAAAATAGTTATAATTTAGCTTTTTTTAGCTTTTTGTTTGACAGAAGTTTCATCACCACTTCATCAAAGAAATTCAGTAACAAAAAGAGAGGTAAATGAACTGGTTCTTATATAATGCTTTTCTATTTAAACATTCAAAGTGATTCATACAACATGCCTCATTCACACAAGCACCTTTTTTCTATACTTAAGTGCTTTCTATTTAACATTCATACTCCAGTGGATGCATCACAGAACAAACTGGGGTTCAGCATCTTATCCAAGGATACTTTGACAGGGACTGAACCACCGACCTTCCAATTAGTGGATGATCCTGATCTGCATGATCTGCATGACAAAGCATGCAAGCAAGGGATGTGTCTCATGCATGGAGAAGAGCTTACCTGCACACGTGCACCTGGGTATAACACCTCAGCCAGCAACCCAAGAAAGAAGCACCTGCAGAGACAGTAATAAATAGTGAAGTGGGAGGTTAAATACATTCCAAGCAGAGCTGAGTAACTGCTTCTTTGATTTGGCCATAAATACCGAGGGACTGAGCACATACAAAAAACTCTAAGAACTTAAAAGTTTGGCTTTACTTTGGTTTAGGTTTTATGTTCACACAGTCCGGAGTGATGTACGTTTTCTGCCTTCTTTATTGATGGGAGGGGAGGGGAGAGGAAGGGAAGAGTGCAGATGTACAGAACAAAGATGGATGGTTGACTGTCGGGCAATCTTCTGTCGGGGTTATCTGAGGAGGCAGCTGAAAAGGCTGGCGAGAGAAATGACTTTAAGACTACAAGTTCTAAAACTCGCATTAGTCACACTCCAACTTTCTCTTTACACACACAGCCCAATTAACACTGAGAGATCTGCATAAAAGCAAATCAATTTCACATTTTATGAGTGATGTATAACTCAATTATGATACACAGATTTTATTTCTCCTTCTGAGGAAAAGTCTGGACAAACTCTAATTTATCTGTTTTTAATTTAAGTTCCACCAACAATTAGTTCGGAAAGGAGTGAGATTTGGACAGGAGAGTAGAAGTTGTTGAACTGAGCACCTTTATTACTGTACTTTGGACCACTGCCCAATTGGCCACTGGTTGAATATCAGCTGGCAAACCTCGGAGCATTATGTGAAAAAGAATGACAAACTGTTTTCCTTTCCTCCATTGAACTGCAGATACAAGCCTCCTCCATTTTTTGATAAGAAATATTTAACCCTATGTAGTCAATATCATACTAATCACTATAGAGTGATTGAGGTTTTGACAAATTCTTCCACCCCTTTTCCCTTCATCACACATCTAGGCCGATGAGGACAATGTCTTGAAACAGTACTTCAAATTCGGTCCTGGGTTTCTTAGAAAATGCAACAAGGTAACAAATATAAGACATTTTTGATTAAAAAGAAATGAAGCATGATATCAGATTGCAAAAAAAATCTTCATGCTTGCAAGTCCCCAAACAGTAAGTATGGCTGAGGGTAAACTAAAATCTGAACTGTTGCTGATTTCCATCTGTTTCCTCCTCCTTAGCTGGTTCCTACATCCTGGAACGTGTGCTTGTAAGTCAATCATGCTTAGCGTGGGTTACAAGATGTGGAATCAGATTGAGTTTGATTCCCTCTCACTCTGAAAAGGTCAAAGCAGGCAGAATGACAGGTTAACAAACCCCAGCTCAGTAAATGAGTGACTTAAATCCATGTGACCTTTGTTTACAAGCCTTGCTTTAATGGTTGCCATTGACAAAAACACCTTGATACAGTGCTGATACTTTTCAGTCTACGAAACAAAACAAAACAAACCCGTGTAGCGTGTGAGGTTTGCGTCTGCTCCTGAAATTCAGACAAATTATGCCCAGTTTGTCAGGCCATTGAAGCTGCTGACCTGGCCAAGGTCATAAAAAGTCCCAGAGAATTAAATAAATAAATAAATGAATCATGAGCGCACTAATCCTTGACCTATGCTGAAATTGTTTTTTTAAAAATTGCTTAAGAATTCTGATAAAGGGAAACATGGATCAGTAATCATTGCTTTACAGTGCTATGCAGAAAGTCCCGGTCCACCTCTTTTCTTTAGATTTTATTCCAAGAAGTCAGGCTTTCTTATATAATTATTTTAATTTGCCAGAAGCAATAAATCTCTTCCAAAGGTTTTCTTTGAACATTGGCTGTTTTTTCTATTTGTTTTCAGTCCAGTACTTTTGTTTGATCATTTTCAGAGGATTATTTTTGTTTGTTAAACCACTTAATGTGGACCTATGAATCATTCAAGCATAAAAAAGGCACCTAACTTAAGGGATGAACCAGTGTTGTGTCTAGTCATTAAAGACAATATATCAAAGAACCAGTTTTAAATTGTATCTATGGATAATTCATTATCAGCAAGCTGCCACAAAAACATATATTCGGTTCCCATTTCTTTAGTTGAAGCTATGAAAATGCCAAAGATCACAGTTTGACAACCACAGACCGCAGTGTATCTTAAAAAAACAAAACAAAACTTGACAAATAGAGGAGAAAATAAGAGGCAGGCATAAAAAGTTTTGGACTGCAGCTGAGCAGTATCTGAAAGTCATGTCCTTAAGAAATAAGAAAACACCAGCAAAGATGCGTCACAGGACCTCAGAGATGCAAAAAATAAATAAATAAATAAAGAGAAAGAGTAAATACAGTCAGTTTTTTAACCACTATCTGGAAAGTGTCTGATTGCCAGTGCCCTCATTTTCCGCTGGATCCCAAACACACTGCCGGTGCAGTAAAACATCCTTTCACAGAACCACACAATGGGCTTCACAGAGCCCTGAACTCAGCATAGAAGAATATTGAAAAACATCTTGACAGGGAATGCATGAAGACACATCCACCATGCAAAGACGCGCTTCAGTGTCTGTCAGGAAGCCTCGAGAACTATTTCTAAAGACTACTTAAAGAAGGTACAACAAAGCTTGCCTAAGAGAGTTCAGGCTATATTGAAGAATGAAGGTGGTCATCTCAGATAGTGGGTGAAATCATGGCAGCTATGTTGATCCTGTTTATACCTGTTAAGTCCTTATATAGTTTTCTTTTTTAACCACGATCATTCTATAACCTTAACTCTTATCTTTTTTATGTACATTAAAGCACTGTAAAAGGGTCAGGGGCTCTGTAGGGACGTATGTCTGTGAAGGTTGGAAAGAAAAGCGTCTGGACTTCTTTGAGTTGCTTGAAGACGTTTCACCTCTCTTCCGAGAATCTTCTTCAGTTCTAAGGGTCCAATTGGTGGGGAGTCCCAGATTTAAACCCAGTGGGAGTTTCCCCCCAAAGAGGGACAAAGGACCCCCTGATGATCCTCTACCTAATCACATGAGCCAAGGTGTGAAAGTGGGTGTGGGTCCTAATCTTTCCAAGCTCCTTAGGCTCTGTAGGGACAAACACACAATGTGTGATTGGTTACATTATGAGGACTTCTTCGCAACCACAGTGCCACAAACGAGTGACGCTGTAAACTCTGTTCAGGTAGAGGATCAAGCAGTGAAGTCTTTTTTTTTGGACCAAGATAAACTTTCTGATACCTTTGGGCTCCTTTTTTCATGAGTCCGACATGGCTTGAATCACTTCAGTATCAGCATGCCGCCTTATCACCTGTCTGTGTAATTTGTCCCATTCCGATTCTGTCCCTGTAATTCCGAACTCACGTCACATGTGGATGCTTCCTTCCACTTTTCACACGAAAACAAGATAAGAAGTTTGGGTGCGCCTCGTCTCTATTTTCAAACACTCTCCTGCTCCCTAAGTGCTCAGCGAACAATCAAGATTTTGCCGTGATAGCTTGCTTCAGCTCCAGGTTGCTATCTTGATTGCCATCCAAAACGCTTGTTTTTCTAATGGGAGTTGGAATTAATTTCTACCCTCCCGCGGCGCGAAGCAGAGAGTGAAGCAGTGCAGGTTGGCTGGCTACAAATGGAGGAAAAAAAACGATCTACTGAGACAGAGATGGGGGAAGATGGTGACATAAAAAGAAAACCAGAGAGACCAAAGAGGAGACAGAGGAAAACAGAAGGCGATTGAGATGAGTGACAGAGATTAGAAGGTAACAATCACAGAGACAGACTAAGCAAGGAGCAGTGTCTTAAAATTCTCCACATTGCCTCCATTTCGTTTACTGCCCTTACTGTGAGGGATTTTGTTTCTTGCCGCATGAGGCTGCCTTCAAATGTTGCACATAAAGATTCTTTTGATCATATCTGACAAAGCGTCTCTTTCTCTCTCCACCTATACCTCTGCCGTCAGCTCTCTATGCCACGCGCTCCTCAATGTCTCTCACTCATCGTTCTCTCATTAAGCATCTTTTCCCGCTGAGCTTTTATCACCTTTCTCCTCACATTTCTCTCTCTCGCCAATTTACTCATTTACTCCCTTCACCTCTCTCTCTCATATCCACCATCTTGGATGTTTTGGGTTTTTTTCCCAGCCGCTCTTACCGCCCCTGCGTCCCTCCCTTGCCTCGCTCTGTGGCTCTCTTTCTCTACCACTTTGCGTCAATTCAATTTGACTCAATTCAGGTTGCTTTACTGAATCTAATGTTTGATGAAAGGTTTCTCCTGAAGCACACAATCGATTAAAATAAGGAAATAATGAACTGGCTCTTTTGTAGTTTCTGTGTGTATCCTTTAACAGTAAATCTTCTAACATGTGTGACTCAGTGCATTTTTCTAGGGGATTTGTCTAAATTCAGCTGTGCTATATAGACATAGCAGGGGAAGAATCCATGTTATAGACTCATGAGAGAAGAGAATTTTAAATTTGGAAAGACTGATAGAGAAATTAAACAAATATAAATATGGAAATATTTCTTGTCTTGGGGATCGATTTTCCCCATCTACCCTCTTAAATATTACTGTCCCCCCACCCACCTTCTTTTATAGCTCCATGGCTCTTTGATCTTATTTTGACTGAGGAGCATTAGGATCATTTGTATCTGAAGCATAAATGGAGCAAAACATGCTGTACCAAGCGTATAAATAAACACTGCTGTGTTGCCACTCTCTTGATCTGAGCCTAAATCTCCCTTCTCCTCATCTCTCTCCTCCTTCTTTATCACAGTCTAATTTTTTACACTTTTTCTTAGATGAAAGAAGATTAGCTTAAAGAGGAGAAACTAGCTCCGGTGACTCATTTTGATGACTCATAATCTTCATTTTATGTTGGCAGGAAGATGGCGCCAGTGTGTGCGGCTAGCCGCCTATCAGGCCTGATCGGATTTTTGTTTGCTATTGTTTTATTTTGTGTTTGTTGCCAAGACAACAGCTCTTATAGCTAGGGATGGGTACCGGTATCCGCACCGGTTCTGACATAAACGGTAG